TGTTATGGCTGCAGAATCTTTGATATAACTACTTGCAAATATATTTGTAATTAGATAAATAGAGTTGAAAGGCAAGCCCACACACTATTATACATTGTATGGACAAAAATCTCAATTTTCCCTTAAGAAAATAGAGATGAACCAGATGAATATGAATGGACTTTCAAAGAGCTCTGAGATGAATAGCCAAAGATGAAGTTACTGCTGTTCCCTGCTCACAGGAGAAAGGAAGAAATTATGTAGCAACAGAGCGAGTGAGTCATTGAACAAGACTGTTATAAAGTGTGGGTGAACTGTCGTAGCAAAAGAAGGTTCCTGCTAATGCTGTTTGGGTGTCATCACTGTGTCACCTGCCAAGACTGAAAATCAAATCATTCTATACAGTTAAAGAAAAACAAACTTGCAATCTGAAACACCTGACAGAGTCTACAGAAACATTTGAAAAGATAGAGTTTAAGTAAGTTTATGTCTTCTTTTGCTCAAGCTAGATGCCACCAGGTGACTCAAGCATCCACTCAAAAAGTGGAAGAAAGATATTTTTGTTTGTTTTGTGTTTGAAGCCAATTTATTTCAAAGAAATCAACTTGACAAACCTCACCGCAGTCACTGCAGACAGTCATTAAAGCTAGTGGATATTTCCTCCACTGCAAAAGATGTTTGTTTATTTTTCCAGTTGAGTTGCCTAACCTTGACTTAGCTGTACCCTCTCTATGACATATTCACACCACTTAAAATTTCCTGGCTGTGTAAGCAGATGATGCTGTAGACTGGATTTTTTGAAAACTACGCTAAAACACTTGCTTTTGGAAAGAGAAGGAATAAAAAGTTCTGAGATTAGTTGTTGATATGGTTTGAAGCTGGCTCCCTGCCAAGTCTCCAAACCTTACCACAAGAAGTCCCCCCGCCCTCAAACCTCAGGGAGAAGAGGGAGAAAAACAACCAAGAAAAACCAAAATGAGAGACAGCTAAAGCAATATATATAAATATAATATAAATATATTTACACTTATGTTACAGTTATATACAATTGAAATATATATACAATTTCACAAGGGAAAAGGAAGGGGGAAGGGAAAAGGAACAAAACCAAAATAAAATATATATATATATATATCCCGATTAGTAGCCCAATATCTAGCAACTAAAAGAGTTAGCAAAGAATATCTTACTACTCTCCTTGGGACAACCGAAAGTCACTCTGGAACGATCACCGGCAACCTCCGCCTCCGAAGGTCGACAAGGCCTAACCAGGCCTCGCTCCCCAACACGACAGACTCAACAGCAGGGAACCTGCACTTCCAAGCTGCCGGAAGGAAAGAGAGCGAAGGCCTCTCCTCTTTTCTTCTTATAGCCTGGCTTACGTAAAAATCGTAGGGAATACTGGGTAAATCTGGACCCTTCCTTGGTTACAAACTGGTCACCAAGGAAGGCCTAGACCAAACTACCACAGTTGTACATCTCCTCAATTATACTTGATCTTGGAGTAATTAGAAGGACACATATTCTTTAAGCCAAAAGCTATATTTCAGAAAACAACTGCTTCCCAGTCTCTCACCCCTGTGCAAGCCACTTCTTCATATAAACAGCCTTAGCTGAGCAGCCAACAGTGCACATTCATTCATGGTTTCATCTTCTGTTTTCCCCAATGTTGTAAGTATTGACTTCTCATGTCAATACAGGGACATGACTTTGATGTGAGCCTCAAACTGTAGAGGGAAACAGAAAGGAAGATGTATATATTTACAACACACTGGCCAATGTAGCTCTATTTTAATCCACTAATATGTTTATTTCTCACTTTTTGCTGCAATAGAGTATGTTTGGTTTCTGCAATAAAAGTGCCACATTTTAGGTATATCAAGTCAGAACATATAAGTAGAAAGTGACCTTAATCTGGTATACAGAAAAGCGTCAAGTAAAAAGATTCTGTCAGAAAGAGAGAAACTTACAGAAAAGGCAGGTCCCTTATCCCTCTGGCCATTATTTCTTTAAATTCTGGAATTTTTAAATGTGCACTGTTCTCATTCTTTGTGACCTTTTTCAAAAGGACAGGCATTTTCTTATCTTTTTCTTCCTGGAGTCAAGTTAATTTAATTTACTGATCATATCAAAGGCCTAATTCCTATGTACGTGTCTTTCACTGGATTAGTTTAGCTGGGTGTAAGAGACTGTTAAGTAAAGATAATATAATGATTCGTGTGAACACATCAGGTACAAACAAAGTTGTTAACAGTATTATATACCTTGCATTGCTTATCCTGTCTGATAAGCAAGCTCAATAACATTTAGCTTTAGCACAGAATGTAGCTTCATCAAGAACGTGACTCTTTGGACCAATTTTTAGATGTAATGAAAGTAAAAAAGAAGGCTCCTGATTCAGAAATTGGTTTTGCCCAGGGTTCCATTACCTCTCAATCATCTGCCCTCCACGTGCCTTGGGGAGAAGTCAGTGTTTTATGCAGGAGCTACTGGAAATTATGATGTGGTCTAGTATGAGGAACTAAAACTTGTCTATTGTGTAGAACTGGAATTTATGCTAGTTTATCATAACAGGTTGTGGTGTTAAGTGAAGTAGTTTAGTTTATGCAGGAGAGACAGGGATGTTCAAGAGAAGCATGATGGATGGAAGAGGTGGACATTCAGCTCTTGTCTGCTGAGTAGCCTTTTGTTTGCATGAATCAGCACCCTCATAAAAATCCCTGTTCCTGTTAAGTATCAGGTAAGATCTGTGGAGAAAGATCTGTACTTTGAGCCTAAATTACAACATCCATATACCACTGAATTAGGCCAGCAGAACTAATTAATTAGTCATAGAGTCAAAGTCATTTAGACTGGAAGAAACCTTTCTCTGTAAGGGATCTGGTCTGATCCACCATTCAGAGTAGGTCTGTCAGGTTACTCAGGTTGCCCAGTCAAGCTTTGAGTATTTCTAAGGGTGGAGGTTCCTCAGGGTAGAGATACCTGTGGCTACTTACCCTCAGTAGGAGTAATTTTATTTTCTCTAATTATTTTACCAGAATTTCCTTTGTAGCGGTTTGTGGTCACTCCATCTCCTGCTTTCACTCTGCATCTTCAAGGAGAGTCCAGCTTCATCTTCCCAAGACCCCCAATAGGCATTTGCAGACAGCAACTCCCCCAGCCTTCTCCAGGCTAAACAAACTCAGTTCTTGTAAGCTTCTCCTCATAAGTCATGTACTTCAGGTTTTAATCACTCAGAGTAAATAAACATTTTATCTAAACTTGTACATCAAACATTCTAAAGTGTTCTGCTCTTGAAATTCAAGTTCTAGACATATAGCAAACTTATCTTTGTATTCAGGGGACAGAGGAGCCAAAACAAATTACAAGATCTATCCTAGATGCATGTAAATTGGCAGGATAACCTAATATCTAAAGTGTCTGAATTAATTGCTGTGATCCTTAGATAAATTAACAAAGATGTATTTGTAGGCTTATATATGGCATTATTGCAGAGATGAACAAGGAGCAACATTATTTTCTTCTGTCTGGTCTTTAAAAATACTTGCAGCTTTCTTTGGAATCTTTTTTTAATTTGGTAAGGTTTGGAAACCACACCTAAAAGTCAGAAGCAATTAATGACTTTCATTTATTAAATTTCGCCAACAGGAAAGCCAGTGGTTACTTGACCATAGTCTGTCAGTTTGTACACTGGGATGAGACTTAGATCAGAGAACTGTGAAACCAATATAAGTCAACATATAAAGTTCTGTAGTTAGAAGACAAACATATCAATTCAAGCTAAAATAATATGCATCATTTTAGCATGATGGCAATTTACAGTCAAAACAACTTCCCTTCTTGTAGTAATAATTAAGGAATTTATCACTATGTGAAGCCATTAAATTATGATTGTGTGTCTTTCTAAGATATATTCTCCAGCCCAGTCAGAAATTATAGGTCAGGTATTACTGGGTAAAGTATTGTGAAAGCTCAGAGTAAATTGTCAGAGTAGTTACTTCAGTTTTTAAATCTGTGAATGTATAAAGCAGAACCAGAGTGATGTGCTACCAAGTTAGTCCCCAGTGGCTGCCTGGACTGGAAGAAACACCTCACTTCTACGTCAGATGCTGCCACCCTCTCAATTTTTCAAATTTCTAATCACCTGCATTAATTATTACAACATCTGTGCCAAAAGATGGCAGGAGGAAAATATGGTTTGTTTTGGTTTTGTTTTGTTTTTTTTTTTCTTATATATATATATAAATTAGACTGTCTTCTTTTGATATTTCAGCTTGGGTTGTATCTCATATTGCAATTAACTCATTTTTTTAAAGGCAATTTCTGACCACTAAGCATAATGAAAATGAAATTCAAATAATCTAGGTGGATTAGAGTCTCTAATAACTTTTGGGTCCTTTGAACTTACAATATATTTCTTGAATCTACTGTGTTTGAAAGTCTACCTAACAAATAAAATCCAAGAAAACATTATGCATATAACTTCAGAAGAGAACAGTGTTCCAAATCTAGGAAATAATTTGGCTCTCGCCTTTTGGCTACCCGTGGAAGTAGAGAAACATTTAGATCACCCATGGAAAGCTCTTAGGACAATTATGAACTAAAATCTCTGCACTTCATCTTTCTGTGAGGTTCCTAGTCAGAAAAGCATTAGGTTTCAATTTTCCATGATTTCCTCTAAAAAGCCCTCTCTTCCTCACTGGGACTCCTCCTGCTTTGCAGGACTGGGCTCTTTGCCCTGGAGCTATTCCGCCGCTTCTGGAGTAGCTTCTGGAGTAGCATACCATGTGCATCCCTTAGCTTCCTTACACAACAAGTTGCAGTAAATCTTCAATTTAATATCCTAAAACCTTTTTTTTATGAGGCATAGATATAAGCTTTCCTTCAGTAAGTGATCCTTCCTCAGCTTTCCAAAAGCACAACCTAACTTGAAAGCCTAAAATAAATTGCATATATGTTCTATAGAAATCCTCTAAACAAATAAAATGAAGAGACATTTTATAGCAGTAATAATTTCTTACTTGCAAGTGTTTCAGAAGACTCCCACAGCAGCAGGTGTTAAGGAAGCATCCATCTGTTCTTGTTGCTCTGCACAGAAGTATATTGAATAGATAAGAGCTTCTAAATGTTCAGGGTTGTCATTAAAATGGGTTAGCTGTGATCGTCACTTAAGGCATTCCTGATATTGAAATTAAAATGAAGACCATCTCTGGTTCTGTTGCAATTTGAGAATGCGATCAATGGTTCCCTGAAGAAACATCCTGTCAACTGGGTACTTTTTAAATTATCTTCTGAAAAGCACTTCAGTATTCCTGCGACTGAACTGGAAATGCTGTATCAGCAACATTACTGTTCTCTGAAAATATGGATCAAACCCCAGCTGTTGCAGATATGTTAATTGATGAATTAAGTTAAGAGATCTGAAGCCTTTATACCTCACTTGAAACTTATGTTTCTATTTAAATATTGAAGACTTTTCAGCTTTCTCCTCCAATGCGAAAAATTACTTGAGTCACTTCTAAGGCAGGCTTCAGAGTCTATAAACTTGAATGCTACAGTATAAAGACCAGAGGACTGGAGCTTCATCAATGCAGCAGTGAAATCAGCATGAGAAAGGGGAGATAGCACACAAGCTGTGAAAAACAACACATCAGTTTTTTCAGAGGTGAGACAGAAAATATATAGGGCAATAGTATGAATGAAAGTACAAAACAGCTATAAACTTCTACACACTCTGAGGTGTTCTTATACCTTAGGTATTTATATTTAAGCTACTATGTGGTCTTATATTCAGATCAGAAAATGGATTTTGGCAAGGAGTGTGAAAGTGTTAAAAATGAAAACTGCCTCTTTGCTCTTTTAGCATTGTACCCCACTCAACAGGAAGAAGCAAAGGAAGGTTTTTGCATGTAGCATATATAACACTTATAATATCTTTATAATTAAAGCTAAAATAATACCAACTGGGCTATTAAGGCTTTGTATTAGTTTGTGATTTGCAAAGTCTGGTAGCTTCCATCTAAGAAAATGCTAGCAGTACCTTGTTTGCCAAAGTCCGATCTGTTCATTATGTTTTCACATTCTATATTCCTATGATACTTTCTCCTCTCATGAAGGCACTTCGCTTTCAGTCCTATGGAACACTTTGCTATTTGTATGTGAATAACTTGGTCTGGATACCTGGGAGCCAAATATTCTCATACCATGATGGAGCAGTTCTGATATTGCCAACCACAACTGTTTACAGCTGAATCTATCAGCAAAACTTCAGGATCTCAGTTTTGAAACCATCAGTCAAAAAATAATAATACAGAGCTTTGCATTTCCAAAAGAATCCTCTCAAATAAGCAAAAGCAGGCCAGCCTCCAGCTGGTATGAGATCTTTCCAGATCTAAAGTCCAACTTTAAATGCAGTTATAAACATAAACCTCAGATTGGAATTTTGCGGTTTATGGAATACTTGATTTTTTTTCCTTGGTTGTTGACTTTACTGAGAGTCTTAGATCTACAAAAATGTGAGTAAACTGGTTTTGGGGTTTTTTTTTCCAAAAATAATTTTTTAGCAATTTTTTTGTCGATAAGCGGTAAAATTTTGAGAACAACATTGTTACTCAGGAAAAAAACCACCAACAAACAAAAAAATAACCCACCCTACCATGATCTGGACAACAGAGCATGCAATATACTAATTTGTTTGATAGAAAGTTATAGATTGTGTGCTAGGATTGTTTTGGCACTGGGCATTTTGCTAAGCCACCTGCCAGGTTAAGCCACTCTAATCATGTAACCATGGTAATACTGCTGGCGTCAGCATGAAAGACTGATTTGTGCAGCCAGTAAGGACTGGGCACCTTAATGCATTAACTGGAGCTGTTAGGAAATGTTTGGAAATAAATATGTAAAATAGGTATAAAAGGTTCTTTTAGATTGTTTAGTGTTTTGCTTCAGGCAATATTTGTTAACAGCAGGCCACCCTATTTATCAGGCTAAGTGAACGTGGTCGTGAGCACTGAAACAGATAAAAAACTGCCAGTAAATAACTGTTAGTTGATTCTGCTCTGCTGCTTTGCTTCTTGTGCTTTGATGGGAAAGAACTGTTTCATTCTTAGCAGTAAGTGTTAGCCTATGCTTGTGTTCTGTTAAAATAAACCTGCAACTTACAGCAGTAATTGCAGAAAATCTGAAAATAAGACAAACCCAACAAAATTTGAAAGTTTTAATTAGGCTCTATAGAAATGGTCAGTGAGTTGGTCCAAGTGTTGATATCATATATTATACCTCTTCTTCCTATCCCTCTGTTGTTTTTCAAATGTTTTTCCCAGACACACATTTCCTGTCCCTCTCACATTTGCCTTTCATATGCCCCTCAGTTATGTGTTTTCCTCACACCTTTAATTTGCAGCTACACTGCTCCTCAAGTAATGGGTTTGTTTTTTTCCAGAGAGGCAATGATCTGATGATATACTGTCGCCAGCATCAGTACTGACTTAATTAAGTTCTACCTCTGTGTCAACACAAGCAGTGTGGACTGTAATGTGAATCAGACCAGAAAAGAGATCCACTTTAAAGTAAAAACCTCGGCACTTCTTTTCTCCAACTTCCCTTTTTTCAGCCAGGTGCCCAATTCACACAGTAGCCCCACAAGCATGAGCATATGTAAACATAATTAAGGAAATGCTTCGGTGAATTTTATAGAGGGTGGAACAGAGTACTGTTTATTTCTGAATTTGTGGCCAGATGAGGGAAAAAGATAAACTTATAAAATCTGTATTTACCCTCCAAACCAAAAAGCTATTTGCATGAGAAGAAAAAAGGGAGTCCTTAATGACCTCTCTGTACGTTTTTATGTTGTGTCTACTTTGGTTTGCTTACTAGCAAACATTACTTGACATATTATTTTCATGATAAGAGATTATTTTCATTCGTCACATCTTATTCCAGTTGACACAGATAGCCCAAATTGCTGCACTATGCCGTGGCCAAGTTATTGCCAACTTTTCTTTATTCTCTCAATTTTCTTTGGTCTTCCTCCAGAACTTTTTCTTTAGCTCTCTCATTCCTCTCTTTTTTCTGTTTTTGGTCATTTTTCACGGTGAGTGCCAATTCTCAGCGGTTCACTAATTTGCCAAACAGCACTGTGCCTTCTAGAGTGTGTTTGTGTCCCCCGGACTGTCAACTGTTGGATTCTGCATAGAATAGTTGCTGCCTTAGCACATATATTTGCTTCTGTGCTGAATCAGGATTTTTGCAGGCTGTGGAAAAAATGAACTTATGATTTCATACTGAAATAAAGGAATTAAAACTTTTAAACAACTGTTGCAACAGGAGCCCACTTGAAAATGTGGGGTTATGCACCTTTTTCAGTCTCTGAAGCTCTTCCTTTTGCTTTTATGCCCTGTTGCTGTGTGGACTCCATTTGAACTGTCTTAGGCAGTCAGGATAAATATCCAAGCAAAGGAAGTTCCAAGTGTATACTTGCAAATAATGAGAAGTTGCTCAGGGTTCTAGCATTTCTGTTTCTTTTCATTCTTTACATTTGAGAACAGCAGAATTGAACCTAGGAGCTAGCTGAAATATAGTTGGAAAAAGAATATGTTGCTTTCAATAACTTGAAATATCTAAGGCTGCTTTAAGTAATTCCCTTCATAATTCTGCAGTTACTCAGAAAATAGGGCCCAATTCTCTCTTGAAAAATTAAAAACCTGCTATGAAGATCAGATGATTCTTTCACATTCTTTTGGTTTCTTGTGTTTTGCTAACAGGCAGGAAAGAAGGAGCACAGAGAACAGAATAATAACTAAAATCAACAGAGACAGAAGAGATACATAAATAAAAGCAGACTCAGAAGAGAAAGGAATCATTCATAAGTGAAGGTCAGCAAACAGCATGCCCAGTTATTGCACTTCATTGTTAGAAGTGTTGATTTTGATGCTTCCTGAAAGTTAAGAAATGTAATTATTTTTCCAAACTGCACTGCTTTTGGTCTGCAGACTACAGGGAAATAGCAGTGGTAGGCAAAAGCTGCCACATCTGAATTTTTCACTGCCAGGAAATAGCACAGAAGCATTCTTGCCTGTTTAGTGTGTACTAAATCATGGATAGAAAGTCAACTGCTTATTTGGAGTCTGGCATAGATTTCCAATAACTCGCTTTTCCTCAAGCACAAACATACAACAACACTTGAGGAAAACCACAGAGTGAATCTTTTATAATCCAAAAGTAATCTTGTTAGATTTCCATGAGGAAACTGTAATTATTTATTCAGTCATTTTCTCTCACCTTGCAATTAAGTCAAGTGCTGACACAGATTGCCAGATCATTTATGCCCCAAAGTGTTCAATAGAGATGATGTCTTCTGGTATTGAGGATTAAAAAAATGAAAACTTTACGGCTTTTAATAGTAATAGTAGCAAACCCAATATAAAGAGTTACTACCCAGCCACGTACATTGCTGTGTAATAGGTAGTCACTGTTTTGCTTCACAGCTGTGCTCCCCAAGCTAATCTATGTTTATAGTTAAGGTCATATTCTGTTTGTGTACTATGCAGGATGATGGTATTTATGCCTGTATGGCTCTGACAAGTCAATCTACAGGTTTCCATCACCTTATTGTTTTGGCTGTTGCTGTCCTACTCTAGAGAATTTGGCCTAGTTTTAACAGGGATGTCCATGTGGCTGGATAGGCAACCATAACGTGTTCCATCCATGTAAAATCCCTGCAGGTATTTTACATCACGCTGAAAGTTGACACTGTATGAGGTGTCTTCTTGTGTGACACTTACTCCACAAGGTCTTTAGCACATACGTGAAGGCCCTAAAAGTGCTTTCCCTCATTCATCTGCCCATATATATAGCAAAATTTCAACATGCAGTCCTTCATGAGCAGTTCTGCCCAGCAGTGTTCATTAGTATCGACCTTTATTTCACCAAGACAAGCTATGACAAATTCAACTTGAAAGTCAGGGGAAGCATGAGAGAAGAAGTCTGCAGAGAGGACCAGGCATTCCCTACCTGGTCTTCTATTTGAGGGCAGTGTTGCTATCTTGTGACAGCAAGTCACTGAGTGACTGTATGACTGGCAGCTGGCCTTCAGTAGAGTCTCCACTGTTTCTGAGTTTTGTTTAGTTGTATCATGTGTATCGGTTTCAGACACCAAGTAACTGCCAAAGGGACACTTTCTTCGTGTAACATACCACATTCATAGCTCTGGGATAGGAGCTCTCAGAAAGCAGCAAGCATGGGTGGTCCCACAAGGGAAGGAAACCAGGAGCTGAGGGCAACAGCAAGGCAGGTAGGGCAATGATCTCACTAGGTGGGCACAATGCCACAGTATCTGAGCAGGTACCATGCTAGTGAGCAGTGTCAGCCAGCATTCAAGACTACAAGACATGTCTGCAGTGATGAAGCAGGTGCAAGGTCAAGCCAACGATTCAAATCAGTGGTTCAGGATCAGCAAGGCACATGGACAGGCATGGGCATACCTAAGGCAAAGTCGCAAGGATAGAGGCCTGAGTTCAATGCAGCTCCCAAGCAAAGAGCAGGAGGCCCCCGAGAGGCTTCCCATAGCTCCCTCTCACACAGCTCTGTCCCCAGCAGCCTGATCCAAGGCTACAGCTGCATAATATCAGAGCTGCAATGGAGCATAGGCAGCCAAACCCCAAGGCAGGGGGAAGAGGCTGCAGAGCCTCTTGCACTCAAGAGCCTTGACAGCAGCATGCTTATTTCCAGATTTCCATCCAGTCCAGAAGGTATCAGTCTCTTAAAAGTAATCTTGTTAGAGGCAAGAGACAGCTGTTCAGGGCTGGAATGTTTACTGCAGCCCGGTAAAGTCTGCAAAGCCATATGCTGTTTGATCCTCTGCTCCCTGGCTGTTCACCAATTCAGTGTCCAGAGGACCAGTAGTTTGAGCTGTGCCAGAATCACTGACAAACACAAGCCCTTCTGCTGGCCCATGAGGGAAGACAGAAGCGCCATAATTATATGAGATTACATTCTGCAGTACTTAGTGATCCATCGTACCCTTGTGATCATCACAGCGTTCATCTGCACTTTCAGGTCTGAACTGCTGACATTTTGATAAGCAGCCTTGCACCATAAGACCTGATAAAGCATCATTGTGCCATATATGAATGTCCCCATCCTGACAACCACTGTGCCTCAGTGACCAGAAGGGAAGGCTCTTTACCTTCAGTGCCCAGTTACTTTCAGCTACAGATCCAGGCTAAGGATCACCTGCTTTTGCATTCGATAAAACAACCTCTTACCTTCAGATAACGTAATGGAGAAAGATGAAAATAGAAATTGAGACCAAAACAGCATTTCCGTCGTTGTGGGGACCTCTCGTTGAATCTGGTGTGCAGGGTCTCCATCCCACTGTTGTTGGTTTCAGCACACCAAGTTGGGGTGAATGATGCCATAACTCACAATGAGCATTGCAGCTTTCTGCTCTTGCCCTTTGCTGGCAGGTGCGGTCAACAGTTTCAGCTCCCTGGTTTTGAGCTCAGTGCTGAACCAAGAGGATTGGGCCTGGAACTGGCAAGAGATAAAGGCAACAAGGATGAATCAATCCACAGGCTGTAAGCCTGTAAGGTTGCTTCAAAAACTGGCTTTTGCTGTCTTGCCCTGTGTGCTAGTTCTGTCTGTTCTCTGTCTCACCAGTGCCCTAAGAGGGGTGCTTAAGTAGACCAAACCTTTCAAGTACTTACAATTACAGAGCAACGTGAAGTAACCTCTTTGTCATAGATTAAGTTGTCCCACGTCACATGGGCAGTAGTCCAGAAGAACTGCATTTTAGGCAATTTGGACAGAGGGAGTCCATGTGAATTTTGTGAACACTGATGCACTGACTCATCTTGAGTAACATTTGTCAGAGAAAGCTATAGAAGCATTGAGCCCTTTACAAGTGTGTGGGAGTTTAGGCTGGTCCCTGTATAGCCCCAGGTACTCTGATGCTCCTTAGCTTCAGCAATGTCATTTATTCTAAAGGTGACTGATATAGAGAATATGCTCTAAGAGTGTTTTATTGTGAATAGTTGGCACAGAGGGTCTTATCCCTCCAATTTGTGGTTCTCTGACTGCCTGGCAGGCATTGTATCACTTTCTGTTTTACCGTGGAGCTAATTGTTCACCTTCCTACAGCACAGCTGACAGCCGCTAGAAACGGCCAAGATGAGGTAGTGCCCTCCGTGGGCAGAGAAACACTAATGGGGACCTCTTATGTACAAAAGGATGTACATGTGTGTGTATATATATTTATATACAGACATCTCAGCTTGCATATAATGAATTTGTTAGAACAGATGGCTGCAGACCTCTAAGAAGGACAGCACCTATGGTTTTTTATAGATGGTGGTCTGTCCCATGAGGTGCAACAGCTAGCCATTTGCTGGCATAAATTGCTGGTATAATTGCCTGGTGATTTCAATGAAGATTTAAGTAAGCAAAAGCCTCCATGTCTTAAACTAACATGAGGTAATGTATAAAGTCCGTAATTCTCATTATCTTCTCCTAGGTCATACTCCATCCCTTGCTAATTGGCTCTCTGGGCACCCCATTTTGAGTTACAATAATGTTTACAACCTTTACTTGATAATCTATTGTGCAGACAGGTCAGACTACAAATGCAAGCTGCTTTTACTCCCATTTCTTTTGCATAATAAGTGTCTGAACTGGAACTACACTCTCACCTACCTGTTAGTGCTTTCCCGTGTCAGTATCCGCTACTGTTAAGTGTGGAAAAAGGGTGTGACTTGGCCACTAATATTTCAGCGTGACTCTTCTGCTTAACTTCAGGGTATGCCTCATGACTCCTTTAGGAGTTTCCTTGGCACAGACATAAGTAAGTCTATTTCAAGGTTCTTACGTTAGCTAGTTGTCCTAGATATTATTCCTTTGGAAGTTCATATTCACCCACAGCCTTGTCATGATTTGGGACTGCACCACCTCTGAAAATCCAAACACATGGTATGGTTACTCACTCCATAAAGTATATAGAAGGTTGGGTTGGCTCACTTTACCAAACTCTGAGTAGATGGCTCCGGTGATTGCTCTCTGTGAACTGACATCAAAATGCAGTGTTGCACTTTCCCAATTAATAACGCTCCCTCTACTAATTTATTTTTTAATGACCACCATGACAATTAAAAATTCCCTGATTGCAATATTGTTTTGACATTTTGCTAGCAGAGATCACGTATCTCAGTCTTTTATTTTAAGTTGATTTTTTTTTTTTATTTTAGGGCTAGAGTACACCTTTCTGTTAAGGCTCCTGATCAGGAAAGCTTCAGGGGTATGTGTAATGTTAGACATCGTTCAGCTGAGTCTGAATAATATGGGTTTTGTTTCCTTCTTCTTTGTCAAGCTTTTTATAACTATCAACTTAAAGATATATGTGTCTTTAAAACAGCAGCCATACAGGATACCATATGCACTGGTGACAAAATCTTTGTCCCAGAGTATATAGATACAAAAGAGAATACCAGGAATGAGCAGCCCAGAGTGTTGTATGTAGAAATCCTGAGTGCCTTGTACTCGGTATAGCAAAGCGAGGTTTTCAGATGGATAAAAAAAAACCCCACCCTACCAACCTGCAAGCTTTGACTTGAAGATGCTGCATGAAAATTGAAACATCTCAAGGATGAGAATGACCCATGAAGAAAACTCCATCTTTAACAGACAAACCCCATAAGCACAGGCTTTCACACAGAATCATTCAGGTTGGAAAAGACCACTAAGATTGAGTCCAACCATTACCTTAGCACTGACAAGTCCAGTACTAAACCATGTCCCTAAACACATCTACATGAGGTGGAATTTTTGAATGATTCCAGGGACAGTGATTCCACCACTTCCCTTGGCAGCCTGTTCCAATGCTTCATCCTTTCTGAAAAGAAATTTTTCCTCGTATCCAATCTCAACCTCCTCTGGTGCAACTTGAGGCCATTTCTTCTTGTCCTGTCACTTGGGAGAAGAGACCGATCTCCATCCCGCTACAGCCTCCCTCCAGGGAGTTGTGGGGAGCTACAAGGTCTCCCCTGGGCCTCCTCTTCTCCAAGCTGAACAACCCCAGCTCCCCCAGCCGCTCCTCACCTTTCTGAAGGCTAAAAATCGCTCCTAACCCGCAACACCCGTCTGCAGGCCAGGGGGAAAAGTCCTTTTCAACATGACGCTACTATTAACAGTATTATTTATAAAAGAAAAGCACCTAAAATGAACCCTTCCCACTGCCACCACCCCTGCCCGGGCCTGAGGCCGCGGGGCCAGCCCCGCCCCTGCCTCGCTGCCCTCACTGCTGCCCTTCTCCGCCACGGCGGCAGCAGCTTCCCGACAGGCAGCACAGCGTCCGCCGCCGGTCGCGGGCTTTGTTCGTCTCTGCCTGCGCCGCCCCCGCCCCTTCCTCCCTCCTTCCTCCCCTCCGCGCCCGTCCCTCCTTCCCTCCCTCCCTCCCTTCCAGGCCTGGCCCGGCCCGAGCGCCCGAAGCGGCCCGAAGGAGCGAGCAGGCCCCGCGTCCCTCCTGCTCCGAGCGAGAGCCGGGGGGCCCTGCGGCGCCGCCGGCCCCAGCGCTGCGGTGAGCGGCGGCGGGCGGCGCCATGGCCGACAGGGCGCGGGCGGCGCTCTCCGAGTCGGGCTGGTAAGTGCGGCCGAGCTGGGCCGCGCCGCCGAGCGCGCCCTCGGGGTGACTGCGAGCGGTGGCCCGGGGGGCCCTTGTGTTTGGGGCTCCGGCTCGGAGGCCCTGGAGGCGGCTGCGAGGAGGGGTCTGTGTTGCCCCCGGCGCGCTCGGGGCCCGGCGAGGGCTCGCTCTGGGAGCAGCTCCCGGGCTGTCCCGGTCGCCCTGCGGGCAGGGCCGACAGCCCGAGCAGGGGGCCAGCCCAGACCCTTCCCGGGCTCGGCGGTGGCCTGCCCGCTCCTGCCTGCCCCGGGCCTGCTCTGCCGGAAGCCCGGCGCTTGACCACAGTGCTGTTTGTTCATTATACTGTACACCTCTTCAGCAAGGAGGGAAAGATGAAAAAGGTGAAACTAATGTAGGGTAAATGAGGCACACGTGAGGCTTGAACTCGGGTAGTTGTGTTTTCTACTCAGCCCTAATCGTTGGGCACACAAGATCCATTTCGGAACAACGTTTTGACGAGTTGTGCTTTTTAGATACCTACTGCAAACTCTTATCTCCTAGCCTAGAGGGGGTTTTGCACTGTAGGAATTTGTTTTCTTTTGTTGGTTTTTTGCATGTTTGTTTACTGATTAAAGTAACTTGCTTCTTGGTTGTCACTTTGACTTTTTTCTTTACCTACTTGGAAGTCTTTGACCAAAACAAAAGTTAATGCTAACTGTACCAAAGCACAGAGTGACAGACTTTGGATGTAATTGAGGAAAACTGCTCATACAAAGCAAGGTTATTGCCAGTGGTATTCTGAGGATGTTCCTGTTTTGCTGTTTGTGGGTCTCCTGGATTGTGATTTCATATATGGCTAAGATGTAAAAAATTAGAGCAGATGTTATGTGATTTAGAATAAAAGAAGGATAGTTCATGTGGAAGGGATCTACAACAATCATTTAGTCCAATTGCTTGACCACTTTAGGACTGACTAAATCTTTATGTTATTAAGGGCATTGTCCAAATACCTCTTAAACACTTAAAAGGCTCGGGGCACCGGCCATCTCTCTAAGAAATCTGTTCCAGTGTTTGATCACGCTCTTGTTAAAGAAATGCTTCCTAATGTCCAGTTTGAACCTTCCCTGACAACAACTTTGAACCATCCCTGTCTGTCCTATTACTGAATATTAGGAAGAGGAGATCAGCACCTGCCTCTCCACTTCCTCTCCTCAGGAAGCTGTAGAGAGCAATGAGGTCACGCCTCAGCCTTCTTTTCTCCAAACTAGACAAACCCAAAGTCTTCAGCTGCTCCTCAAAGCACGTGGCAGCAGCTTTGTTGCCCTCCTCTGGACATATTCAAGGACTTTCACATGGTTTTCCAGTGGTGTACACGTTACTCCAGATAAGGCCACATCAATGCTGAATACAGTGGGATAATCACCTCCTTTAACCAGCTGGTGTGGCTGTGTTTTTTATCCCAACTGTTGCAGTGCTACTTTGTGATAATACTGACAATGTCTTTAAGTCTGCTTCTTGGATAAGTGTATCAACTTTCAAAAACACTGTTGTAAGTGGTTCTAGAGTGCACAATCCTGTGATTCCTGGCTATCACTGAATTGAAAGGATCAGTTATTTCTGCTACTTTTCATAACATTATCTTATTTAATGGGAATTTTTGACTGTTAACTTGAAGCTAACCCCTCTCCTCTTCTGTACTTACTCCTCTCTGAAAAGGCAGAAGTTTTCCATAGAAGTGGTTTTTATTTTCATAGTTTTCTTTCTATTACCTCTTCAGTTTTCAGCTCTTAGTTGTTTTACTGTCTTTTCAGTTGAACAAGTGCCATTGGTAAAGGGTTTTGAGGTTTTGGCAGTACAAATACGAGGTGCCTCTGAAACAATCTGTTACTCTGCAGTGTTTGCCCTCCCTCCTTGGGGGCTTGTACTCCTGAATGGCCATAAAGACTTGTTATTCTTGGAGTACTGCAGTGTGAGCCAGAGGCTGCATGGTGATTGGGTGAGTAATGGGCTGATTATCAGGCCCACTGGAATTATGCCTTGACCTTCTTGCGCTGGGAAGGGTAGTATGCAAGAGGGGTGAATTAATGCATGTACTTTTGAGGAATGTGAGGTGGAGTGGAAAATAAATAATGATTCAAAAATCTAGGTTAGTTAAATGTTTGTGCTCTTTAAAAATATAGTAACGTAGACATCCGTGCTTCCAACTGTTTTGCTGTTGCTCTTATGTTTATGACTTTTCTCGTATTATTAGATCTTAAGTTATTTAACACCTGTATGAGTAAGCCTTTGGTGATATTTAATGTGTGTTTCTGACTATGCTTGACTACACTGGTGGTTAAATCGTGTTTTGTACCAAATTGGTTGTTACTGGTGCTGTCACCTGATGTCAGGATGATATGTTTTCTAGTACAAAACCAAAACTGAGTTTATATATTATTAATATTATTTATTATTAATATTATATATTATTATTATTATTTATATTCCACTTAAGCTACAGAAGCGCCCTGCATGGCACTTCAGGTGAATAAAACGTTCTTGCTTAGTTGCAAATCTGGTAGCTTGTAAGATATTGCCTGTACTGATGGATTTTACTTTACTTTCTAAAGTCTTTCAAGGTAGGAAGAGTTAATGTAGACACTTGTTTATATCAATTTCTGCAACTAGTGTTTACATTTTATGATTCTGAAGTAAAAATAAAGGTGTTTTTCAAGTAAACCAGTAACATCGTGTAGTTACTATAGAATAGTAACTATATATTTACTTTTCCTAGGTATTGTAAGAGTCACCCGTTACAAATTTACAAACAATTTTATAATGTTTGGCTTCAGTGTATCAATTACATTTTTGTCAGCTTCTGAAAGGTGAAGTAGCCCTATCTAGTAAATGTAATAGTGGTAGCTAAAGCTGAGAGCCTTTTTTTTTTTTTTTTGTGATGTTTCTTGAAAATCTGTAAAAGACCCCTGTAGTTTGTATGCAGAACTGTAGTTTTTCTGAAGATGTGACCTTGCAGCTCTCTTTAAAAATGTGCATTTTTTGATGCTAGTTCTTTTCATTATGCACTACCACACTGTACTTTGGAATGAGATATTGACTCCAACTTTAGGGGAGAGGTAAGATGTGTTTGTATTACATGTCAGTGGAAAAGATATTCACTCCTGGAACAGAAGTTCTGTATTAAGTTTTGATTTAATTATCAAACACTTATGAGGAGGAAGGCTAAGGGGCAGAATTACTTTTTTGTATTGTTATAGTTACATTCATGAATTCTGGAATGAATTTTCCAGTGATCCCGTTAAAATGTAGACCTTAATGGAACATAAGTTAGTGAATGCAGTTTTATTGCTAGAAATGACGTTCAGAAAGACTGCAGAATACATCCTCTTATGTAAACAATGAGTTGAAAAGCACTTCTTGCTGGCTTGCAACAGAGTTTTTTGTTAGCTTTTTTTTGGATGTCTCCTGGGTGGCATTTCACAAAAGAACATGACAAGCCAAGACCTCTTTGTTGTTCCCAGATCTTTGCAGAACTTGGGAATTTATTACATAGAAATGACAGTATATTGTCAAAAATAAACAATATGCCATGTCCTACAGCAGGTTTAGCCTGTGGTTCCACGGATCTCGGATCTGGTGATTGATCTCTGTGGGAAAGCAAGACATGCAAACTGTGTAACTAAAGAATTTCTTAGTACAACTAAATGTACATGCAAGTTCCTTGTCAAGCATTACAGATTTTTTTATTGCAGTGTATGGTGCCATAAAAATTAGTAACTGTGGCAAAAATATATAGTCTTGTAAAACTTTCCATATTTTGAAGATTATGTAAACAACATTGTGACTATGAAAAGTTATTCCCAGAGATGAAGACGAAAGGGAATTGTACTGGTTGTTTGGAAACAAAAGAATACTGCTTAATAATCCACAAGAAAACCCTTCTATCAACGTCAGTGTGGTTTTCTGTACTTTGTAAGTGAAAAATACGTAGTTGATGTACGGCAAACTTTTAAACTGAGTTTTTGATATTTCAGCAAGTAATGTGCTGTATACTGGGTAACATTAGATTTAAGATTGGTCTGTTCAAATATGTTCTCCCGTAGGAGTAATCATCTGGTATGATCCAAGCTTTAAAGCAAAAGTAGGTGTATGCCTGGAAACACAGGGAATTGCTCACAGGGGTGAATCTAACACCTCTTCCTAAGTGTACAGCAGGCATTTGGCAAAGTAGTCAGTTCCAGGATCCTGCAAGATGGATCTGCTTTTCCCTCATGTTCTGTTGAAATGACTTTGGAAATCTCAGCTGAAATTGGTCCCTGCAAGGCAGGATACAAGATTTTCCTTAGATGTAAGCGTAACACGGTGGGTTTGAGATTCTTGACACTTTTTTTGTGATGCACATTATTTTGTGAAGTTTGGTTGGTACCATGAAATCTCAAAGTGCCAGCACAAAACAAAATGCCACATCATTGCATTTTTTGTTTGTTCAGGTGTATCCCTTACTGGCTGGTCTGATCTGTTTCCATTCCTCCTGGATCACAAATAATGGGTAGTAAGAACCTGAATTATTTGTCATTTTCACTCTGGAGGAGCAGAAAAGGTCCAACATTTTACATTCTGTTAAGGGAAACAACCAACTAATACATATCCTACTTCTTTTTTCTTCTTTTCAAAGAAGATGCTATGTGTTTGAAAAATAGCTGTTACTAGATGGAATTGTCACAACTTTTACAAGAAACA